TTTTTTTTTGAAGTTTGATCAATGCAAAATTGTTTTGCGCAGCTGCTGAATTGCGATTTATTCGGTGTGTATCGCTATCAATGACCATCAGTTCTTCCAGAAACCATTCTCAGGATGATTAAATAGAAGTAGTCCCACCTGCTATTAATTTCTCACCTTCATTTCGTCATTCATATTGAGGGGAGAGGGGGTGGGGTAACTAGAAGGTCACACCCTTCCTGAATCCCTACAGTGAGTGAGAGGTTTGGTGCCCATGTGGTCTGTATGTTGGATTATGGATTGCTTTGAATTAACCTGTCAAAATGTTTGGGAGGGGGATAGAGGACTAAGAGGAGTGGGGTTACCCATTCCAGAGGGAGCACAAAACAAAACAAAACAAAACAAAACAAAACAAAATAAAAAATAGTTTTCAGGGGAAGTCACAAAAAAACAAGGACAACAAAAAAGTTAAGGGCCAGGTCAAATATGCCATTAGCAGTCCCAGTTTCTTCAGTTGCTCTACTCCATGGAAGCTGAAATAATTATTGAGGGTTGAGTCTGATTTCACATTGTTGGTTCAATCTGCTGCTCTTTAAAAAAAAATCGTTTTATTTTTCATAGAGATTGTTCATTTGCGCAGGCCCTGTAGCACATTTTGGATGCCCACTTTTCAAATCCTGGCTAAAAGCCTGCATGTAGGGTAGGATTTCATACAGAGTACAGCTACAGAGGGTGAAATAGCTATAGCTCCTTGTAAGAATTGAGGGCCTATGCTCTATAGGTACGCAATATGTGCAAAGAGTATTTAGCTTCAGCCATTTACACTCATTGCAAACCCACTAAGTATTATAGGCATGCAGTGCGTGCAGAAGGCACAATGTGTGCAGAGTAAAGAAATCATTACATAATTTCCTCATGGCCTAAACTATGGTATATTTAGAGGGCGACATAGAGGTAGCCTTTTAGAAACATGTGCCTCGTGGTTCTTTGTGAAGTAATTGATATATTACATCTTCTAGGCAAGATAGCAGAACAGCATTATTACAACAAATGCAGGAGAAGGCACTGGCAGACAAAAGAGCAATGACTGAGAAGACGAAAGAGAGTGATTTTGCCATCAATTATGACAGAGTCTGCACACAGCAGGATAGAGAAGATCGAATCAACAAAGAAAGATATCTACAACAGTTCAGGAATGAAAACAAAAGGGTAGGGATAAAAATAGCCTGCAAATGCAATTGGTTTATGACTGTTGTGCATGCATGCTTCACACCACAAAATCCTCCTGCATCCATAGGCTAGTACTTCATTAACTCCTTTTTTTGACAGTTTCAATCTTCATTCAGCTTACTCTCTGTCCCCTGTGGGACATAAGGCAATGGGGGAAGGGGGGTCCCTCTCCATTTCTCCCTATTCTGTATGACATGTGGTATCTCAACCCGAGTCAGTTTTACCTTACTGAGCTCAGCTATGACAGTTTACCGCCAGGTGGTTTTTGGCCCAGGTTTTCTTTTGCCATGGATGTGGTGTCCATTGCAAGGCAACCTCGGGAATACGAGTCTGATCCATTCTGAGTATGTGGCCCAGCCTGGTTTCAGTCAGGATTTATGTAAATGTCATTTTATTTGGGCTACACTGGTGCCCCTGCACCTCCACCCCCCCACACACACACACCCAGGGCACTAGGGTAAAAAAAGAAATAATAACTATTTAATTATTTATTCTTTTTCATTCCAGTTGATGGAGCTCCGAGCAGAACAGCAGAAAAAGAACACTCAAGCCAGGCATCATGAGGAGAGGAGTCTTCTTCAGCAAAGCCCAATAAACTGGAGCCACACCCTACACTGATTTCACTGGAATTCCAACAGATGCTTCCCTCTGGTTTAATAGGAAGCTATAATTTATATTTTGTAACACTAGTTTAACTTCATAAAAACAGACACATTGTATTTTATATTTGCATTAATTTTTTTGGTATTAATGTACAAAGTTACTACTGCCTGGATTGGTTGATAAATGTAGTTGAAACTACACTGCACTGTGTAGAGAGTTTTGTGTGACAAAGGGCAAGGTTTTTTTAATCAAGTTTTCTTATTCACTAAAAGTATTTGTCTTTGTTTCTAAATGATGTAGTCCAATGTGGTGTACTATAAGTGGGTGGTACATGTAATACTGTATGCTAAATTATTTTAACAGTTCAGATATTCTTTTTTATCCAAAAATAGATTAATATATTAACAATAATGCTATGAGGGCTAGTTACGCCAATGTAATTTTACCTCTAATGCTGTAATCATATTGAAAGTATACTAACTCAAAAATGTTTTAAGAACAAAAAATGTGTGCTTGGAATCATGAGGTGAAATATCAATTCTCCTAACAGATTTCCATACATTTCTTCTAATACTAATCTTGAGAATTCAGTAATGGAACATCTAGACATTATCCCTAGTTGATGATCTTATTACAGCTGTACTTGTCTGCCTGACAATGTATTGAATAAGTGATATTGTAAGCAGTTGTATTAAATGTTCTTAAGATCACACAACTGTAAAATGGCAATGTCATTGATCTATTTTTGCTTACACTTCACAATAAAAGTCAAACAGGTCTTAGTCCTGGAACAAGTTAACGATATCACTCTGATCACCTTTCACTCCTTTGTAGAGTCAAACTGTGCTAACTTCTTTCATTTAGTTGGCAGACGAGTTGCTAAGACCCTTGCCCAAGAAAATGAAAAGTTACTTGCCCAGTCTAGGAAAATCTACTTGTCCCGGATGACTGGATGGCATTTTTTTTCAATTCCTGCGTCCTTCTTGCTGTTCAATATCAAGCAAAACAAAAATTGTACTTCTCTTACAGTAATTTCTAACTGTGGCGCCTCAGTTTAGATCAAACAGTTCTTTGCAAGTTGGACTGCACAATCCGCTGAACAGCAATCCAGAGGTCATGGTCTCTCAAATTAACAACACAACAAACAGATTTCTCCTGATCTTGTTATCCTTCTGAATCTGTAGTTTCTTGTTGTGTATCTGCACCACTTGAAGGACCAGGTATCTATTCAGTAAACAGCATACCAAGTAATAAATAATATTATAGTAAATTACAGTAAGTTATTTCAATGATATTTAACAAAGTCACTAAAAAGGCATGAATGTACCTTAAAAAGGTGATAAGAACAACAATTTTATAGCAGATACCACGCTTTGACAACGAAACAAATTAATTTAAAAATTTTGATTTCTGGAGAGACGTTGGTGCGAATGTACCCAAATTCCATTAAAGCCCAGTGTAACTTGTTAACATGGTATTTCAAATTTCAAATTTGTAACTCAAAGTAATGAAAAAAAAAATGTTTCAAAATAATGCAACATAATTTTATATGCAGTAGCACATCAGGGAGGGTGAACACACAGGAAAATCACCTGCAGTGGAGTAATAACAGCTGAGAATCAGTTACTGTGTGTATAATGTTTTTCTCACCTGTTCTTTTTCTTTTTCCTTTTCCTTTTCCACCAGGAAAACCCTGGACATTTCCAGTGTTTTTGTGGTATTGCATTTGTACTTCAACTGCTTTGATCCCTCCGCATCGTTTGAAGTTGAACAGAAAACAAATAACTTTGTTCTAAAAGGCTCAGCTGAAGAGTTATTGTCACTTCAAAGAACATGTACAGTCAAACCTTTGCAAAGAGCCACCTTGTAGCAGTGGACAGCCCTTATATGCTCTTTGTCGTGGTCCCAGCTATGTGTATGCCCAAACACTATATTCAAAACTTCCTAAATTGGGTTGTTTCAGAAAATATTCATGCTCCTCCCACAGAAGGTTTTCTAGTTTGAGCCCCCCCAGGCCCTGAAAATTCCAGTTTAGCTTCATAATGTCCTTTAAAAATTTTGGCTTTTGAAAGCTCCCCTCTCCCTTCTTATTTGTGTTATCACTTAACATTCCTCGGGGTGGGCATGGATATTTTCTGGAACTGCACATTAAAAGAGTTACAAGCGTGATACAGGTAAAAACTAAGTTGACAATCTCTCAAAAGTTGAATGTGCTGTGCACAGCAAGTGTAATGTCAGTTGAGTATGTTTCATTTAAAAAGGTATTTCTACAAATCAAGTTCAAAACAGTACTTGCAATGATGGGAATATCAGTATCACTATCATGAATAACCAGGGCTGAGAGCATAAAGCAAAACTAATAGTGTTAATTTCAACAGACGGAGGCAATCCACGCAGGTTTGAAGCCAATATGAGGCAAACTGAGGCACTTGCCTTAAAGTTAGTAACTTGTTCATTTTTGTTTTATTTTTTGATGGGGAAAGTAAAACACTGCTAAATACCTAGGAAGAGAATTTAACCAGGGACATTGCCTCAGTCATTATTTTT